TGACAAGGTGAAATAAAATTAATGATTTTACCCAAACTATGCAAGGCTATGACTTTCTGAGAATTTATCTGAGGCTTTTATCGTTCAGCTCAGAATGCGATGTGTTGTTTCATGTTATTTACTGGAGAAAAGCAGCCAGAACATTTGGCATGTGGGAAGCACCAATGTTCGATCCAGCACACCGCTCTTCGATTGGTATAGAGGTTTCATAAGCCCAACAGTTTCTCCTCCAAAATCTTTATCACAGTATCACTGAGAACATGTACCTAATCGAGTCTGCACTTAATTCTAAAACCAATCTGTGTTTGACTCAAAACACGAGGAAAAGATGTGGAAAAATAAAAGTAATCTGGAATCTTCCTACCGGTGTTTTAAGACATAACAAACTACAGCAATTATTTCACCGTATCCAGTTGTAATGTTATACCATGGATAAACATTACCAATGTAGCAAAGAATGTGTTTCTTTCTCCTGATGGAGGTCCAAGATTGCCCTCTTGAGTATGCCAGACAGCATGGGGTACTTCATTCACCATGTGATTGGCACACGCTTTAGTTTTGAATCACTTTGGAGATGAAATTGTTGGCTAAAGCTCTGGAAATTCTGACTGCGCTGTTATCAGGCAGGCTGCTTTTACTTTGAGAGAAAATAATTCCTTTTAATAGCACTATGTTACTTGGCTTTTTATCTGTTTTTACATTGTTCGATGAGGTTTTGCACCTCTGCATGTTTTGCTGCACTCCAAGAACTTTAGTAAAGAGAACTTCATTTAAAAAAAGTTTGTTGTTTCTTCACGAGCATCAAAAATTGGAGAGCAGCAGGACTTTGACTATCCCAAGTTATAACCGTGTAACAGCAAAATACGCTCCTTCTTCAGCACAGCTGGCCATCATCACGCTCCCTGAGGCACGAAGTCTGCTGGCCTGCTGTAACTACCACAAATACAAGTCTCTTCTTTACAACTCAGCAAATGGTGCCTTGCAAACAGCCTGCCTGTCACAGGCTGTATGTGCACAGCCACCCACCTGTTCCCTTGCCCGGAACGCGGCTGGCAGCCGATCCTCCGCGATCCGTGCCGCCTGCAGGTCCAGGCCCTGCCTCAGCGCATAGTGCGTGGTGGACTCCAGCTGGCCCTGGCATTCTCCAACGTGTAAACTGCAGAGGAATGGCAATGGCGATCGTTGGTATAAAGCAATCCCACCAGAAATGTGGGTAGCATCCTCTTTTCCCAGTTGTTTTTTTTGTATTATTTGTATTGGAGCAGCCCCTAGCGGCCCTTGGCAGAAGCACGGGGAGCGTCCCGCGCACAGCACAACCCTTCCGCATACAACAAACACCACGCTTTCTCCCAGAACTTGCTGGGAATTGTTTGTATAATGATACACGGCCTAGTAGAAACATTTATGCTGTAGAGCCCTTTTATTTTTATTTTTTCTTTTTTTCCCATGCTGTCTGTATAACAGTAGATTTAAAAGCATAAAGGTTTTTGGGGACTCAGCCAAGTTTTATGCCTGAGTGAAGGAACCCCTCCAGTACTGCCAGTCAGGATATGGGATGCTGATGGAGCTGGCAGGGCAGCAGCTGGAGGAAACGTCGGCTAGCAGTCCCAAAGATAATCAATCAGGGCTAAAAATTAAGGAAGAGACCACTAGCATTGCTGGAAAACTGTAACTGTAAATAGCCAGGGCATTTTTCCTTTACAAACATCAGGAACACAAAGAATCACAGAATGGCCAGGGTTGGAAGGGACCTCAAGGATTACGAATCTCCAACCCCCTGCCACACACAGGGCCACCAACCTCCCACTTAATACCAGCCCAGGCTGCCCAGGACCCCATCCAACCTGGCCTTGATCACCTCCAGGGATGGATGGGGCATCCACAGCCTCTCTGGGCAGCTGTTCCAGCACCTCACCACTCTCATAGTAAAGAAAACCCTTGCTTCCCCTGCAAGTGCTGGTGTGGCTGAGGGCAGCCCGAGCTCTCTGACTAAAGGACAACTTCACCCTCATCACATCACTTTTCCCACAGATTAAGGATAAAGAATCCCTGTGGGATCAGCAGCCCCACAGCAGCCCCTCCTGCTGCCCTTCCCTTCCCTTCCCCAGGCGCCGGAGCACTCTGTTGCGGTTTGCACCTGCTCTTTGGCATGGCTCTGCGCCAGCTGCCAGCCCTGGCAGCTCTGAGCCTTTCCCACTCGGAACACTGATTGCCATGGAGGGTGTTTGTCCCCCTCACACAGGGTCAGGAGGCCCCACAGCTCCATGGAGATAGTGTGGGGAGGAAGCCTCACACAAAATGCCTTCTGAGCGCTGTTCCATGCCACCCTGCCCTGCTCTGCCCAGAGCAGTGGGGAGATGCCCACTGGCAAGTGACTGGAGATTGCATATCCTTGTAGCAAACCCTCTGCGCTGTGTAAAGCTTGCGGGATGTCTGTATCTTCAGTTCAGAAGTCGACTGACAACGGTAATTATTTTGCTTTTTACAAGTATTTTTGCTGTGACTGACGTTTCTCTATTACAGCATCTACTTTTTCAGCAGCTGCATCAAAGCAGATTTTGTGAAAATTCATTAATGTTGTCTTTTGAGTCTTCTGCCTTTGCCTTTGGTGAGACTGTTGTGAAGTGGTTCTAGTGTTTCATTAAGATCAACAGATGAGCAAAGAAAACGCTGCTCTCACTGGACCGCTGTGCTTGCAAAAACAAGGAGCACTCTTGAGTCTGTCCTCAAATGGGAAAGAAACAATTTGCTTTAAAATGATTCATTAATTCTTTGGTCGCTTCAATAACACAGTGTGAATGGTGTGTCAGAAGAAAGGGCAGTCATTGGGGAAAAATCACGCATGGCACCAAGTGTGCATTATTTCTAAGATGCAATATCATGCTCCTTTCAATACTGCTTTACACAAATGCATGTCTTAAACACCCAACCTGTATTTCCTTATAAAGAAGCTGATATCACTAGAGGGATGTTTTTTTGCCTTCAAGTCTGAGGGCTGAACTGCAAACATCTATACTACGTAATTGCTCTGCACTGCTGGGCATGGGTCGAGGAGATGAGTAGGGATGAGTCTGTGAAGGAAGTGGGACCGCTGGGCACAAGTCAGGGACAACAGCAGGGACAGGTCTGTGAAGGGATTGAGATGTAGGTGCCCTGCCGTGTGGCAGTGGCTTTGCAATGATCTGCACAGTGGCTGTCCTGAGAAGTCTCAGTTGTGTTCTTCCCTGTTCCCAATACAGTCTCAAAGCTGAATGTAGCAAATGTTTTTGTACACAGAAGGTTCTGTAATATATTTCTGAAGAAATGGAGAACAAGCCAAAATGTAAGGCTTCTTTCGCAGAACGAAAAACTGAGGCAGAGAGAGTAAGGCCTTGCTTGTCTCAAGGAAGGGGTGTAGCCAAGGCCAAAGTCACAGAATGAAGCACAAAACAGGGCTTTGCCTCCCGGACCTTGAGAGACTGTCAAGAAGATGACACTGAAATGGCTCTGGCACCGGCCTGCTTTCCAGCATATTGACATTCAAGGATAAAGTGGGTGGGAATCAGATGCTGTAGCTGGCAAATGAAATGAGAGAAATTGTGGTACTTGCATTGGTTAAGTATGAATGATTCAGACAGTCACAGCCATTTACTCTAAAGGAAATTACAAACTTGCTGCAGGAAATCGAGTTCTCCATCTTATTATCAGACACACGTAATGATATTTGGGGATACTAACTGCCATGCTGCCACTTCTCAAGGCTTTCTTCTAAATGACCTACTTTGTCTCTCTAGGTGTCCACTGAAGTTTTGATAATAACTTAGATAAGAGTGAGATCAGAGTGATACTATGGATGTTGTTATTAACGATGCCACGCCGTTAGTTACTTTTAAGCACAAAACCAATCGACTTCTACAATGATTTACGGAGGTGAATGTAAAGTTGGCTTATGAAAAATAAGCTGTTCCATAATGTTCCTGTGGTGGAGAAAACAAATAACCAAAGCTGCAAGCACACTGTGGGATCAACATCTTCCGAAAGGCTCAGGTGATTGCATTGTCTTCTCAGCCTTGAGCCTAATTAGCTGCACTGACATCTGCGTGTGCCAGCATCAGCTCGGGGAGCTGCAGAAATAAATCAGACTGCTTTTCAGACTGAGGAAGTCAGTGACAGAAATGAGGATATGCAGAATGTGACCAACAGAGAACAAAATTACAGTTTGTTCTCAATCCTTTCCATGTCATTCCAGATTCAGTAACTCCAGGCTCCTTATTGCCAGCTCAGACAAACAGCGCTGTGGTTTGAAGCACCTGCTGGCAGCTGTTTTCTTTTTCCTGAACAGTTTTGTTTTGGCTGCTGGTTTCAAGTGAGATATCGATCAAGTTGAAAACAAAAAGTTTAAGGAGGAACCTTAGAAAGTTCCCACCCTAAAACCACAGAAAGGCTCTAAAGGAATGTAATAATTAAGGTGTTCTCTCTTCAGTAGGTTGTATGCAGGTACTTCCACACAAATTTACCGCATTATTGTTTCTGAGAGGTGTGCTTTGTACCAGTAAACATATGCAAAGCTAGAGAGGTTTCGCTTGGTTTGTAAGAGAAACAGGACTCGCGCAGCCACGCCGCCAGCCTACAGACGAACGCCCACCACTTCGCCCAGAGGAACCGCCCTCCCCGCCTCTTTCCCGCCCATCAGCGCCGCGGCCGCGGCCCCGCCCTGCCCTCAGGCCCCGCCCCTCGCTCTCCCATTGGCCCACTCTTTTCCTCCCCGCCTTCCGCGCCTCCTGGGACTTCACCGGAAAGCGCTCGAGAAGCGTCGGCGCCGTCGTGACGTCACGTAGTGTCACGTGAGAACGTCGCGTGAGAGCGTCACGTGAGGCGCCGTGGGGCGCTGGCGGCTCCCCAACCCCGCCGTTGCCGTTATCGTTACCGCCGCAGGGAGCGGGCGGAAGATGGCGGAGCTGTGCGGCCTCGGGGCCACCGCCTCTCTGAGGGGAGACGCGGAGGAGCACGAGCAGGTGATGGCTGGGGCGAGGCCCGGGGGTTCTGTGGGTTCCCGCACAGGTGCGAGCGCCGCTTTCAGGTGTGAGAGAGGCAGGGAGGCGCTCGTTGTGATTGAGCTGTAATTGCAGGCAGTGTTCTCGTCCTTAAACGTTTAAGTTGCGTTTTAATTACCTAAATGATATGCCGTGGATCCGTTTCTCCTTTTAAGCGTGTAATTTCAAAGCTTTCCGTGTAGTTTAGCGGCGTGTTTTGTTGCTCGTGTCACTCGCCCTGAAAGCGCTTAGCAGGACGGGGTCGTCCTGTGCCTTCGGAGCCACGGAAACGCCAACTGATTCCCCTTTGGAAAGCTGTTCCTTTCGGTGCTGTTCCTTGGAGGCAGTGACGTGAAGAGCAGCGCTGTGGTGAAGTACTCCTTGGCCCCACCGCAGGCAGCCTTTGCCTGGCTGCAGGAGAAGACAGACCTGAAGCTGCCGCCTGCAAATTGGTTGCGTGAAAGTGCCAGGCTGGGACCTGCGAGCACGACTGTTCTGGGCAACAACAAGAGCACACTGTTCTCGAGGTACCTGCAGCAGGCTCTGTTGGTTTTTTCCAGATCTTTAAGACTAAATCCAATAGAAGGTTGAAGTTCACTAAAATTTTTCCTGTAACAGCGAGGTGTCACTCCTACTTTTCCATCCTCTCTTTCTGCCTTTATGCTGTCTCCTTTGTAAATGATTAATGATGCCATTCATGCTAAAGGACTTAATTTTTTCAAGTGCGTAATGCTTCCGTGAGGCAGTGATGCTGACTTTGTGTCTTCGTGTTCTTCTCAGGCTGGCTGTTAAAGTCAAATTTATCAAAATTAAACTAGCCTGCTTGAGCTAGCCACTCTGCTTTTGGTAGGGACTGAAAATGGTACAAGTGTGGTTTCCTTGGGCAGTCAAGGATCAAGCTTATGGCTGGTCCGGTTCTTCATAAATTGGAACTGGCTAACTAATAGCAGAAAAAAGCTTTGTAACCATCAAAAGTGAACACAAAAAGGAAAAAACTGGGGACAAACCCAGAAAGTGGTGTTATCTTTATGCACAGATGCTTGCAAAACAGTTGAACGAGGTGAGTTCAGAATGTTTAGAAATAAGGGTTTTAAATCCTCTGCTGAGCAAGCAAATTCACAGTAAATCGACTAGTTAGTGAAATTTAGCAGTTTGCTGAGGGTCTTTGTTTAAATAAATCCTCATAATCAAATTTTAGGTGATAAACAGACAACAGCAGGACAACTTGTTTAATACTTGTGATTTTTTGGTTTCAACAAATCACAAACTGCTTTATGGCATATTTTGAACTTGAATCTCAACTTTACCAATCATAGCTTTGGAAAATATTTTTGTCAGAACAGTTCTGTTAACTAGCCTTAGGTCTCATTTTACCTAGTAACATGTAGCTAGAGACTAGGTTTTTTTTTTAATTCTGAAAAAGCTTTCGGAGTGTTTCCTTGCTTTGCAAGGCAAGTTATTTGATGTCTCTCTGTACTTAATGACTTGAACTGTTTTCTCTATAGCTTTGGTATGGAATATGACTTCATTGACTCCATTGGAAATGATGTGGATGTTGTGTCTGATTCCAAGGTTTGTGTAACTTTTAAGTTTTATCATTCAAACTTATGCTTTGTGTGAACCTTACCATAAACTACTGTCCTGTCTCCTGTTGTCTTTGTGTTTACTGAGGGAAAGCAAAGATCTACTGAAACAGCTCTGCATCATTCAGATAGGATGATTCAGAGGAAAGAAGATGCATTTTCTCTTACGTGTTTCTCTTGAACAGATAACTGCTCTGACTTAGAACTCTGTTCAGGTGCTCTCTGGGTACCTGAAAAATTGTTATTTCTGTGGTGAAGATAAAACTTTCAGCTCCAAACCATAGACTTCCTTTTTCTTAATCGCTTTTGGTGGTACTTGGCTATGATGATCCAAGAGATAATGTTTAAATGCAGTACACAGTTTATGCTGGTGACTTGGCACCATCATTTGCCATTGCTTTTTTTTTTTTTTTTTTTTTTTTATAACTGCTGTTCACATTCTCATACCTGACCTCAGCAAATGCAGCTTCTTGAGAGATGGTCTTAAAATTTCTGCCTCTATAAGGTTTTATTTTTCTGGCCATGCCTTTCCAATGTTAAAAATGTATCCTTTGTGTCCAGTTTCCTAAGAATTCTGTCTTAGAATGATGTTTAATTATATGGAAAATAATCTCTGTTCTCTCTTTTCCTACAAGAACATTTAAAAAACTTCTGAAGATACCTTACAGCAAGTCACATGTGAGCATGGCAGTGTATCGCATTGGGAGGATGCTCTTGTTGGATGAGCTGGATATTCAAGAGCTCTTCATGAGATCATCTCAGGTTAACTTTCCTTTTTTGATGTATACTATGTGGTCAAAATGCATTATTTTGAGAGTAGTGTAGCCAGTGAGAAAGCATATATCAAAGTTCCTGAGATCTGTCTGCTAGTACAAATGATCTGCGTGAAGCATACGCTGCAGCAATTGGTTTAATCACAAACTGTGACAGAGAATCTGATGTCTTCATATTCATGGTGTTGTAGAATTAAAATTCTATGTTTCTTTTTCCTGTAACTGCCTCCATATTGCTATGCGACTTTATTCATTTAACTAATTCATTGTTACTGTGCAGTCTCTTACCACATACGTGATTTTTTTTTAATGAGAAGTTGACTTTGTGGAAATGTAACTTCTTTTAGGTAATATCTTTTCAATAATTAACCAACAGTTTAGCATTGGCGTTTATTTTTGATGTTGTAGTTGATAAGTTCATAAGGCAGTGAGGTACTTTGCTTAGTTTGCAAGTGCATCTTGATGTTAATTTCATACCATACTGACTAGACAGGGACTGCACGTGGCTGAAGGAGTTTTATCGAAGGCTAATTGATCAGAAGTGGCAAAGAAAAAAGAAGAGTAAACAGCACTGGTACCAGAAGGCTATCCTTTCCAAATTCTTGTGTTACAGGTAACCTTATGTCTGCATGAATCTTGAATTCTGCACCAACTTCTGACCAGTTTATTATTTTGAAGTGAATGTTAGAATTTGTCCGTCTTAATTACTGCTTTATCCTTACATGGAGGAATTTGAGAGATGACATCATGAAATCACATGAATGTGTTTTTATGATGAGTTGCTGTATGTGAAAGTGTGAAATTAAGTAGCATAGCTTAACTTCCGTCAGTATTCCCTCTCAAAAATGGATTTCGCTTATGTGCAAAGTATAGCAGTGCCTCCCACGATACAGTAAAACTTGTTCTTGTAGCACTCTTCTAGCGTATTAGCTGAGCTGTTCTCTGAGACTGAAGAATCAGAACAAACTTAAAAATTCTATAGAGGATTCTATATCGTAAACTTGTGAATGTTTTGTCAGCATTAATGGTGATGGAGCTGCTCAGCCTGTTCCTTCCAGTTCAA